GCAGAACAGAAAGTGAGGCAGACATTGTAGAGTAACATTGGTGTGGTATTAAGATTCAGGCACAGGGGCCGGCTCCGTGGCCGAGTGGTTAAGTTCGCGCACTCAGCTGCGGCGGCCCAGGGTTCAGATCCTGGGCGCGGACATGGCACCGCTCGTCAGGCCACGTTAAGGTGGCGTCCCACATCCCACAACTAGGAGGACCTGCAACTAAGATATACAGCTGGGTACAGGGGGGGTTTGGGGAGATAAAGCAGAAAAAAAAAAGATTGGCAACAGTTGTTAGCCCAGGTGCCAATCCTTAAAAGAAAAAAAAAGGAAGATTGGCAACAGTTGTTAGCCCAGGTGCCAGTCTTTAAAAAAAAAAAAAGATTCAGGCATAGATGTTGAAGTTGGCACGGTCAGAAGGGCACTAGTGAAGGAACTTGCACAAATGAGTGACATGATGAAAGTGGAGTTTTGATAAGTTTATCCTGGCGGGGATTTGAAGCCAGAATTGGAGCTGCAGAGTGAATTGAAGCTGGTTGGTCATCTACATCTGAGTTGATAAAAACCTGGGAATTGCTGATAAGACAGGTGAACCTGGGAGATACGTGAAAGGAAGATAAGTCAAGATATGGGGAGGATTTTTGGATAGAGGTGTTAAAGAGCGAGTGTGAGCACAGACACTGGTGAATGGTTAGATGTGATGATGGAAGCATGGCACACTCTTGGAATGCTTCAGTTTCTTTTTGGTGAAGTAGTAAATATTTATTATATATTTTGTGTATGTAATCTGAGTTAATCCTCACAGCAACTAGATGAGGAGGATATTGTAATTCCTATTTTCTGTGCAGAAACTGAAGATCAAGATGTTAAGGGACTTGCTCAGCATCACATGGCTTCTGTTTACTCTTCAATTCAATTTTGAACCCATTCCAATCTGTGTTCTGGCTTCCCATTCTACAAAACTTCTTTCATTACATATTTCCATGATCTCCATCTCATCAGAAGGAATCTTTGCAGTGCTTTGCTTACTTTCATAAATTTTCAGATTACTTGATTGATCCTGCCTCCTTTAAATTCTCAATCAGTTCATTGGCTGCAGTGGTATCATATCCAGTTTCTTTTCTGTTCTCTTGCACTTCTGAATTTTCAATGCGTGCTTCTTCATCATTCTGCCTTTTGAAGATCCTTGGAACTCTGTCCTAGCTCATCTTATTATACCATGATACACACTCTCCTAGATCAACAATCGTATGGCTTTTATTACCATATTCAAACTGATTTTAATTAATGAATAAATGCCAAAATTTATCACTCCAATCAAAATCTTGCTTCTGGGCCCCGCGCTTTTACCTGCCCTCTTGACTTCCTTACAGCCACTTCAACCTCATTATTTTCAAACTATAACTCCTCATCTTACCCTTAAGTCTTTTTTTATTTGTTTCTTATCTCAGTAGGTATGTGACCATTGGCCCATTTGCCCAAGCCAAATACTGAATATCATTGTTGGTTTTTCCTTCCCTAACCCCTAAAATCTACATAATCACTAAGTTCTATGGCTTCTACTTCCCAAGCCTTATGGATTACATTTCCTGAAATTTGTCTTGGGTCCAGACTTGTTTTGTTTGTTGCCTTATGGCTGGGCATAACCCCCTGTCTGGTATTTAGTAGATACTCAATAAATAATAGTAGAATAAATTAATGAATAGAGGCAAAAGAGAATGAACAAGCAAATCAAATAACAACTGGAGCTTTGCTTTCTGACTTTGAAATCTCTGATCTTTTCAAATCAAACATCCATTTATGATAAGCCTGGTGCTGGGACCTGGGTCTTTGACCCACTACCCCAGTGTCCTTTCCACTTCTCATAATATATCATATCTGGGGAAAGACAATCATGGTGTCGTGAACACCTTACCAAGTAGCAAGGGAGTGCAGACCCCTCTTTAACAATGACAAACCAAAGACTCACAAAAGATAGGACTTGTTCAAGGCCATTCAGCTGATTATTGGATAGAGTTGGGGCTAAAAGTTAATCTTACTTTTGGTGTGATAATGTTTCCTCTATTTCATGACACTTATTAATCTTTGAAAAAATTAAAAATATTATGCTCTTAAGCAGCATGTATGTTAAATTAAATATAACTTCCATTTATATGATGTCTTATTTCTCTTCCTATCATTAACCTATATAGCCTTAGTAGTGTATAAATGCTCATTATTTGCAATGTGCTTGCAGTTCTCTACAACATTGTAGTGAATAAATGAATATTTTTATTTAACTATTTCAGCCACAGAGAAGATTTCTCCAGACCTCAAAATAACTTCTTGATAAGCAAGAAAGGAGAGTGGGATTTGCCTGTTTGTCTAATAAAGTTGAAAAGATTGACTTGATAATTTGAACAGTTACTGGACTTTCTGTAATGGCCATCTTTAAGAGCTCATAAATGTGTTTTTGGTCTGCTTAAAATTTTAATGCATAGTCAAAGACACCTCAAAAACTTTGTAGATATTTGGGTATCATTTTATTATCTGCCCTAAGTTTGTAGTTCTTAATCCATTAAAAGACAGACCTGCTTGTAAATCCAAGGTATAGATAAGACGTCACTGTTTGACTGAGTCTGAACCCTTTTCAAATGAAAAATGTCAGTGGCAGAAAGAGGATGAATTACTTTTTTAAAGGGTTTTCGAAGATTCTCATGATTCCTCTGGTATCACTTAAATATGACATGACTCTTTTTTATAAAAACAAGCAAATTATTTGGGCATCATTTTTATGTAGAAAAGAAAATTCTTAAATAGTGTTTAGCTGAGAGGTTTAAAAGTATTTATCTTTAAATGGTAAATTGTAAAGAAATGTTTAGAATGTAAGTATGGCTGAAAAATACTAACTCCTATCAAATAGAAACTAAACAGTTCCTTTTCAAATAGAAAAATTATCCTAAAGATTTAAATAACTACATTATCACATATGAATATGCGTGTATATGTTGAGGGATATTTCCCACTGAGTCCTTTTTGACATCATAATAGATTGTTAGCTGTCTGTCTTTGAGGATTTTCTCTACAAGGCCTCTGATTCCAAAATATTTATCAAGAAGATTGTACAAGGATGAAAAACATGTTCAGGGGCAATCTAGAAATGGGTTTGTTATTCTGTATATCGAAGACAAATTATTATTGTTCCATTCCCTAGAGTCTGGATAAGCTTCAGGGTTTGATACTTAAGCACTAATATGCTATTTAATATAGACATTATATTTGTAAAACTATATTTCAGATGCTCAGACTTACTGAATTTTGGGGGGGCCATTTTTCTCATTGCTGATCATCTTTAGCTGTTGATACATCAGAATGAAAAAAAAATGGAAGGTATGTCTTCATGAGTTTAGCATGTTCTTCCATTTTTAGTGTATTTGACAAGTGGGAAAGGAAGGAAGTATGAAAAGAACGGAGAATGGGGGTGTAGTCCCTGAATTTAGATTTTTACTGTGAACTTGGAATTGTTTTCATTGAATCTCATTGTTCAGATATAGCTAAATTTATATTTCATAATAAACACAATTTAACCATTACACAATATTTTAGCTTATTATGGTTTCTATACTTTGATTTTGGTTTTGGGGATGAGCAATAATACAAACACAAAAAATAATGTCTGATATTTTAACTATTAAAGGAGGTGACAAAAATGTAGGGAAATAAGGAAGAGATATAATTGAACTGAGGTTGATGGTATTGCCTTTCAAAGCATCAGGATTAAATCTATATCTGTAAAGATAGTTATTGACTTGAAAAGAAACTAAGGCCATATTAAGGCAAAATTTCATAGTATATTACCTACCATGACTTATATATTACTTAGAAAATGTAATTAGTGAAAACCATTCTATTTTATTTAGAACTTTCCTCAGCTGTCTATTCTATATGAATTTCCATTTATATTTCTTCTTAATCCATTCCCTCCCATTTTCATGTCTCCTCTTGAGCAAGCTGAGAAGAAATACCATTAAAAAAGAACAATAAATTATATTAAGATTAATATTTTAGAATATAAAAATTTTGGTATGATAATATGGATGGTAATACTGTCATGGCATAAATATCATAGATTTAATTATTTAAAGAGAAAGGCTACAATTCCTGATTAAGGCTGATAGCCATTCTTTAAATTTTTGAAACTTGATTTATTTATTTTTGTAATTAATCCATTCATTTATTTCTTAAGCCAGCATTTGATGAGTTTCTGCTTTATGCCAGTGTGTATACCATTTTCACTTCCCATTTGCCTTTAATGATTCCAAAGTAATAATGTGGAGGAAATGAAAGGAAGAAGACAATCCTAAACTGGCTGTTAAGTGTTTTTGTGCAAATCCTTTTGGTAACGTAGAATCTTACTTAAAATACCCAATATAAAAAAGTAACGACTTTGATTAGCATTTTTTTATTTGGGAAAACGTACATCTCGACTTTTTGTACATGTGGATGTTTTATCCACTGAAACTAGGAGTGATTTCAGAAAATTATCATGTACTTTCAAAAACTGTCCAGATGTTGTTCACCAAGAGTCTTGAATAACTATAATAAAGTTACTGCCTGAGGTATATGTCTTTAATGGTAATTTTTTAGTTACATTGGTGATCAATATGAATTTTAACACTAAGTCATTGTCCTAATGTTTCTTGTCAATCTGTTTTGGAGTTGGATCAGTGCTTTTTGAGAAAGTGTTATTATGTCTGGTTCTTAAGGACTTACTAAATAGAATTGACTTTAGTAGATGATGTGTGTGAAAAGGCACAAGGAAGAAATTGGACTAAATTTTAATACAAGTATAAGAACAAGTTTTATTTCCTGTAAGGATAACAACATCAGTTGTTTTTCAGACAAGCATAATTAATTCTCTTTATATGAGTACTGAGAATATTGTGCGTGTAAAGCAAACACACAAAAAGAGGTGGCTGTTTATGAAAAAGCCGGTGAAAATACTCTAAAACGCCTCTTGTTTTCATTGTCTGCAGGAGAGCTGGAGGTGTTTCAGAAAGACGGGGAACGAAAAATTCAGAGTCGGCAGCAACTTCCTGTGGGAACAACCTGGGGGCCATTTGCTGGGAAGATGGACCTGAATAATAATTCCTTGGTATGTGGATGTCCTGAAATGGTTGACTCAGTATTTTGTCGTAGCTTAGAAATTCTCTCTCCTTGCTTCCCAGGGAAATCACAACAAAAAGTTTTTTTCTTTTTCATGGACCACGAAATTTCAATATTTTCCAAGTGGTTTGTCTCTGACAGTAATATACCCAGAATTCAGTAGGAAACAGGTTGATCATACTAAATGGTTGTTTAGTAAGCTAATTTGTTAGGTTGTTGCTTTATCTGCTTAGCCAGACTAATACTGTTCGCATTTAATAATATATACAAATGCTTTTATTTTTAAGATGACACAAATTAATGTCATACGTTACAGGTTTATGGGAAGAACACAAACAAACAACCTTGTTATTTCTCGGTAGTAATCTTTGTACCTTTAAGAGCAAGGATGAATGATAAGCATCATAATTTTTGTTGTTAACTTTTTTGTGAAAGTTCAGAGATCAGAACGTCTATCTCTAGGTAAGATTATATGGACAACTGATTAATTAGATGTTTTAAAAAGTAGTGGAAAGATGGGATGTTTGGTTACATTTAAACTTCATTTCTTAATTGAATATATGTTTCCTATTGCTGCCTTAGCAAATGACCGCAAACTTTGTAGTTTAAAACAACACAAATTTATCATCTTGCAGTTCTGGAGGTCCAAAGTTGGAAATGAATCTCACTGGGCTAAATCAAGGTGTCCACAGGGCTGAGTTCCTTTCTAGAGTCTCTGGGGGAGAATCTGTTTTCTTAGCTTTTCCAGCTTCTCAAGGCTGCCCACAACCCTTGGCTCATGGCCCCCACCATCTTCAAAGCCAGCAATGGCTGATTGAGTCTTTCTCAAATCCACATCCTGACTCTGACTCCTCTGTCTCCCTCTTCCACATTTAAGAACGCTCGTGATTACATCAGGTCCACCTGGGTAATCTAGGATAATCTCCCTATTTTAAGGTCAACTGATTAGCAGCTTTAATTCCATCTGCTTTCTTAATTCCCCTTTGCCGTGTAACATTAAGGTTCCCAAGTTCCAGGAGTTAGGACGTTAGGACCTCTCCTATTGTAAGTGATAACACAAGTGATAAAACTTGGGGAGGAAAATGTTTTATATTCCTTAGAAGATCCAAAAATTGTATATATGCAATGGAAGTCCTTCTCTCTAAACGCCTTTGATGTAGAAACAGTCTCGTGGCTGCTAAACAACTCCATCCACACTGTGGGGACGGAAACCTCCACAGGAATTTTGACAAATGAGCTGGACTCAGCAAAATTGCATTCTTTCTTCAATTTGTTACATGAAAGAAATGTCGTCTTCAACTTATTACATGAAAGAAACTGAGACATGTGGGGATCTTTGTTTATTCAGTGCCATGTGGACAAGACAGAGGTTACTGATTGAACTAAAAGTAATGATTGAAATAAATAGGAAAAATCTGTCATCAAACTTTGAAACAACATGTGAGATTCTAGGAGTGTGCTTTTTACTTCCTAAATCCATGTATTTATCCATAAAAGGATGAAGTAGGGAATGTCACATGTGTTTGAGGACCAAACAAATTGATAGTCCAGGCTAAATATTTAATCTAGGCAATTTAATTCATGGTAGTCGAATTAAAGCTACTTCATAACGAGTTTGGGATGTGGCCCTGCAAACACTGCAGGCCTTGGCTGAGTTCTGTCAATAGTTCTATTGATTCCTCTGAGAGAGCAATATTAACTCAACTGATTTCTTAGGCAAAGGCAAGAGGAAGATTGTCTAAACAAAGGTTGAGTTAAATGCTGTTCGAAACCCATTTTATCTTGGAGTTTCTATTGGTTCTCTAGTATTGTTTTAAAAATGTTTGAGGCAATAAGTTATCTTATTTATCGTGCATATCAGACACCAACACAACGTTTAGTCATTTCTCTAATATTTCTCCAAAAATGTACTGCCACTGAAGTGACACCTATTCTTGATATGAGATGAACATTTTCCCCTTTACTATACCAAAATAGTATCTATATGAAAATGCAATTTTTGATTAATCTTCATTTCATTACCTATGTATGTAGAGTGGCACTTATACATTGGTAGCTTATGCTAAATTGTAGTATGGAAAATAAACCTGTTTGTGAAAGTTTAGTTTTCCAGTGAAATAATTTCCTATTTTTTAGACAGATGATATAATTTTTTAATACTGCTATACCACTCGAAAGCTATTTTATGCCGTATTTATTATTTTTAAAAGATTCAATTTACATAAATGAAGTTTTCAGAATTTTTGATACTATTTGAAGTGTATAAAGACTCTTTGGGTATCAAAAACCAGAAGTGGGTAATAGTTCTTGATAGAAAACAATCTTAATACCCTAGTTTTCTTCTTTTGTCTTGGGTATTAAATATTTGATTTGTGTTGTTTCCTTGAACTATAGTGTATTTCTCTATTTTAAACTTAGTTGTTGCTAAAATATACTTTAGAAATATTTTTCTTTTGCAGTAACGTTCTTTTCCAGAATTTACTTCTGATTTCATGTTACTAAATACTACTAGTGCCACTGCTGATACTACTGTAGGACAATTGAGTAACATACACTGCGTACTTACTCTTCTAGACACTGAAGGGAGGATTGGGAATGGATTAACTCATTTAATCCTCAAAACAACCCTGTGAATTTGGTTCTGTTTAAAATTGTATTTCATAGATAAGAAAATAAAGGCTTAGGCCTTTTGATTCCAGAATCTGCATTTTTGAAGACCATACCAACACTGCCTCCTCAATAGCATCTATACCTTGGTTTGAGCATGACAAAATTGGTTGGGGGTTTCTTTACAAGAACTCTAAATTTATAAAAATCTGTGGGAGAAAATATGCAATAATTAGAGGTATGCTCCTTTTTTCTTACTTCAGGCAAAGTATTTCCTGTAATACTTCATAGATTATTTGAGCAGTTATAAGTTAATTCAAAGACTTCACAATTTTATTACCTCTTTATAATTTGAACAGTACTTTAATATGTATTTTATATCATGAAGATAAATTTTCCTTATCATAAAATATATAGCCCACTAACCCTTCCTTACCCAACCTTGAATCAAATTTGGAATTAGCACACTCTTTAAAATTGCTTCTTCGCCAACCGATGTAATGTTACTCTGCTCAGACTCATGGTGTTGGCTCAGGAGATCCAGCACACTAATTAATCCAACACAGTAATTAATTGAGTCACCATGCCAGATGTCAAATCCTTTTTCTATCTTTCAAGTTCCCATCTTGAAGTGCATTAGCAATATGCCACCTTCTGCAGGAAGCCTTTGCAGACCAGGCATTTGGATGTATATGGAACATTTCAAGAAATATAGGCTGTATAGAAACACCAAACAAACTGATTTGACAGAAAGTTATTCTTGGAATCATATAACACTGAACGTAGAAATAAAGAGTCTTTTGCCCACATCTCATTATCTTGTTAGAGACTTCATGCCTTAATGGTTTAATAATAGCGGCAACAACAGCATATAGTTAATACTTTCATTGGGCCAGATGTAGGTCAAAGTGTTTTACACGTTTTATATTTCATTTAGTCCTTACATAAGCACAGGAAAAGATAATATTTGTCTCCTTTATAACAGAGGAGGAAACTGCTACTTTGGGAAGTTAAATAATTAGCCCAAGATCAACTCAGTCTGATTCCATAACCCATTTTGCAATCAAATTCTGTCTTAGAAATTTAACTGTACTAAGGAATAAAAATACTATCTAATTTATAGGGCTTTTGGAAAGACTAAATGAGGTAGCGTGCACGAGTTAACAAATACTAAATACTGTTACTGCTCAGTCACCCGTAAACATTGACCCATTAAAATCTATCAAGTTTAAAACTAAAAAGACACTCCAAATTAAACAAGTAAAACTGTAGACCTTTGGTGTTTGGGGGTTTTAAATACCCAAATTTGAGTATTTTCTAAGGACTCTATATTGGCATTCTCCAGAGAAACAGAACAGGTAGGATGTGTGTGTTTATGTATATGCATGTATATAAATACATAGAAAGAGAGAGAAAGAGAGACAGAGATTTATTATAAGGAATTGGCTCAAGTGATTCTGGAGGCTGACCGGTTGAAAGTCTGCGGTGTGGGAGACCCAGGAGAGCTGACAGTGCAGTTCTAGTCCAAAGGCTGGCAGGTAGAGAGCCATGAGAACCAATAACGCAGATGAAGTTTGTTGTTCCTGGAGGCCAGTCTTGGCCAATCTTTTTGTTCTAGTCAAGCTTCAACTGATTGGATGAGGCCCACACACACTATGGAGAGAATTCTGTTCACTGACTCAAATGTTAATCTCATCCAAAACACCCTCCAAGTTGACACCATCACAGGCTCCAAAGCTCTATGATAGATCGTAAGTTTCAGTTTTTTCAGGTACAGTGTTACACGCCTGAATGAATTGTTAGCCAGTTGGTGAGTCTAGCCTTCTTTCCAACATTCCACCTCTGTGGCAAGGAATAACTTAAACTAAGCTATCATGGTGACACAAACTTTATGTTTTTGAAAGTCTTGCAACTTTATTCACTGAAAATATCAAAGGGTTACTGACAAAGGATGCATTTTAAAAATCACTTTAAATCATGATCAATATCTGTTTTGAAGGTGTTTTAGAATTTCTATGTTTATATGTTGTGCCTGTGATTTTTTTCCATTTTCTCCTAAGGACAGAGATCTTTGTAATAGGCTAAATCGCTGCTATGCTAGCACATGGTAAGTGCTTAATAAGTATCAAACAACAATGATTTTTTGGAAGGTTGGATATCTGGAAGTTAAGTGACATTTGCCCTCTCTTGCTTTTGAATATATCAGCTGTCGTTGGCCAACTAGTCTTATTCAGCCAACTGCTGGAGTCATGCAAAGTGCTTGCTTAAATAGAACATAAATAGAAAGTCCCAGGTTACTTACTACATAATAGTAGACTCTTCACAACCTGTTAAACTCAACAAATGAAATTTTGTAGAGAAATCTTATTTTATTTATGCTGT